TATCGGTCATCAAGGTACAGATACATACACGATGAATAACACTGAGCTACCTGTTTTCCAGACACATAATGACTTTAGAGTCATCGTTAGACAAGATCTAAAGACTACTCCACACTGCCGTGCAATAGCCGCCAAAGGTTTTAGAACTTTATGGTCAATACGTAAGGCTTTTACTCATGTCGACGCTCTAAAGTTTTTGACTTTGTTTACAGTGTTCGTACATCCTAAACTTCAGTACTGCATACAAGTGGCTAGCCCTGCTTAAAAAAAGATAGTGAGCTTTTGGAAAAAACCCGGGGAACAGCAACTAAACTGATTCCCGGAATAGCGAGGCTTCCGTATGATGCTCGACTGGCCAAGCTAAACGTATTCGAATCTATCTAAAAGGACAGTGGTATTGTTTCTCGTTGAGTTAATTAACTGTTTTGATCGTAAATTACGCATCAAAACTACTGTTTACACTTTAGTTGAATCTACTCCAGTTAAAGTGATATTGTATTGATTGTTTAGATTCTGCTTTTGTGTAATTATTGCACCAAAGCATACTTGGTCGACTTTTACTTGATAATTTAGTCAAGGTTTTAGCATTTTTTTACATATCCTCTTTTTATCACCATTGTATTTGGTTTTCAAGGTGGCCAAATCGGCTCATAAATGTGGACAACCATGTTGCTTATTCCCCGTGCAGGAAGGGATGCAATGTGATGAGTGTAAGAAGTGGTTCCACAAGATGTGCACCCGACTAAGCCCCGCTGCATATAAAAGGTGCTCGAAGCCCAGCCCTCATTGGCTTTGTAGTTTTTGTTGCTCAAACAAAACAACACTCATCCAGGAAGCCATTAGCCTCCTGGTGTTGGCTAATAAGAAGGTTGGCGAGGGCTGCACTGACAATATTGGTGCTGATAGCGAAGATCGCGTTAGTGTCGTAAGTGCTGTCACGGCGCAAGTCAGACATCTAACTGCGCAACCCTAGATCAAAATTTTTACCTCGAAACAATCAATGAGTGACACCTCATTAGATATTGGTGGCCATGTTGCTACAGCAGCAACTGGTGATCCAGATAAAACAATTATTGTCCCGAGCAGTTCCGATGTAGATGCTACGGCTGACGGAATATGGATGACGTGTAAACGCAGAAGAGTAGGAAAGACAGTTAAAAGTAAGGACCGTTTACTTGATAAGTCTTTGGTGGACTCTCAGACCACTCCGCCAAAGTCCCAAAGTAAAGCCTCGTCAAACATTGTTGTGAGTCACTCACTCGACTCCAATGACTCTGTTACAATAAAAACTAATCGTAAGTTACCAGTAGTTAATATACAGGATGTTAGGTCACGATCGATAGCTGTAAACATGATTCCTAAAGAAACTAAACCATTCCCTAGCTTAATTATTTGGAATCTAGAGGAGTCGATAGACAACGATCCTGCTAAGAGACATGCACATGATCTGAAGTTAGTAGAATCCGTGGTAAGAAACTTACTACCTGAAGAGGTTTCAGGAGTACATATCACGAAAGTGATACGACTCGGTAAATGGGTTGGAGGCGAGACCCAACCAAGAAGGATCTTGAAGCTGGTTCTAGGGAGTTTTGAAGAAAGAGACATATTATTGAAAAACGCACAAAAAATTCGTGATTCAAATATTCGTATCCGACCAGATTGGCCGCTTGAGGATCGAATCAAGTGGAAGAATGCTCTTACGGAGCTAAGAACTCGCAAGTTAAATGGCGAAACTAACCTTACCATTAAGGGTTTTCGGGTAGTCAGGTCCTGGAAGCCAATGCTTCCGAGGCCTTAAGTGTGTGCTACACGAACGCCCGTAGTCTTAGGAATAAAACGTCCGAGCTAAGTCTGATGGTGGATGAATTAAGTCCCGATATAATTGTCATTACAGAAACTTGGTTCACCGTAGATATAGAATGTTCTCCCATCATTGCAGGCTATATCTGTATTAGAAGTGATAGAGTTTTAAGCCGCAAGGGGGGAGGCATAATGTTATACATTAGGGACCACTTTCGTATACAATCAATCATATCGGAGGCTCATGTTAGTGAAACATGTGAGGTAGCATGTTGTAAGATTAAATCTAGAAATGGGTTAGTGACTATAGGCGGAATATACCGTAGTCCGTGTTGTCTTGCTGACGACTTTATCTTAAGACACATCTGTTCTTGGAGTATGGCAGAATGTTGCCTCATCATTGGGGACTTCAACGCTCCGGACATCAACTGGATAGAGCTTACAGCCCCAGGTGGAGGTTTTGATAGCGAACTTTTATCAAGACTTATTCAGTGTGCACTTGTCCAATGTATCACTGAACCGACACATATTGATCTGAAACGTGATCCGTCACTGCTGGACCTCGCCCTTACCCACCACTGTGAGGACGTCTTTGGTATTCAGCACCTTCCTCCACTAGTGAACAGTGATCACGTTGTACTTCACTTTAAGTTTAGGACACATGGTATACGATTTGTATCTGCTCCACCCTGTCCCAATATCTGGCGGGCTAATATTCCGGCAATCAGAGACTGTGCGATCTCTACTGATTGGTCGGTTGACGCAGATGGATCGATCGAAGACGAATGGATTAAGTTTAAGGCTACATTCGAGTCCGTAACGTCGCCGTTTATCCCATGGTCAGCACGTAAGCTATCGCATTGCCCTCCATGGATTAATAAGGAAACCCGTAAGCTGTTAAAGCGTAGGAAACACTTCTGGGACTTATTCTTGTTGACAGGTCATGCATCTTTTAAGCGTGAGTACCAAAAACTCCGGAATATTTGTAAGAAAACAATAGCTAAATCCCGTATTACTTACGAACGACAGTTGGTATATGATAGCCGTACTTGTCCAAAACGATTGTTTTCGTATGTTAAGCGGCAAATAAAACGTAGTGATAGTATTCCCCCATTATTGTTACACGATAATTCAGTTTTACAAGCTGAATCAGATCGAGCAAAAGCTGAGACATTTTCAAACGACTTTAGCGAAGTCTACTCTACGTTTATTGTAACAAATACTTGTCCCAATTACGCCGAGATACCAGCCATTGAATCTGTACAGGTGACTGAAGAAACTGTCCTTCCGTTAATAATTAACCTCAAACCTTGTAAGATACCGGGTTCTGACGGGTTACATCCACGATTGCTGTCATCTCTTGCAGACATTATTTCAAAACCGCTCGCGACACTCTTTAACATGTCCCTTTCACTCGCTCAACTAACTAGGGATTGGAAAGATGCTATTGTCAGTCCTATATTTAAGGATGGTCAGAGACACATCGTATCTAACTACCGACCTGTCAGTCTGACTAGCATTGTCGTTAAGTTACTTGAAAAGATAATTCGGGTTAGGTTGCTAAGCCACATAGATTCACACAATCTGTCAGCTCCTGAGAAACATGGATTTCGTGATAAGCGTTCATGCTTGACTAACTTACTTATTGCGAGAGAGGATTGGACAGCAGCCTTAGATGAAGGTCTGTCTGTCGATGTTATATTCATAGATTTTAGCAAAGCATTTGATAAGGTTTCACACTCAGGTCTTATGCAGAAGCTCACAAGCTTCGGAATAATAGGTACTGTACAGGAGTGGATAGGAAACTTCTTACGTGACCGCAGACAGAGAGTGAGGGTCAATTGAACGCTATCCGATTGGAAGCCGGTCAAAAGTGGTGCACCCCAAGGCACCATATTAGGCCCTCTGCTATTCCTTCTCTACGTAAATTAATTACCGCTGTTGCTTAGGTCGTCGACATTATTATTTGCGGATGATGTCAAAATATGGAGAGCAATAAGAGGTGAGGCTGATCATCTGGATCTTCAAGCTGACTTAGACTATTTAGTTAGATGGGCTCGAGATTGGGGTTTAGAAATCAATTCTAGGAAGAGTGTGCTAATGCACATCGGTCACGGCAATAGTTACCATTATACTATTGATGGCAAACCCCTTCCATGCGTTCAAGAACATAAAGACTTAGGAGTAATAATAAGTCATGATTTAAAAACAACTGCGCACTGCAACGCAGCCGCTGTCAAAGGTTTTCGTGCGTTGTGGTCACTTCGCCGAGCGTTCAAATCCTTTGACGAGGAAATGTTTCGAATTTTATATCCCACCTATGTAAGACCACATTTAGAGTACTGTATTCAAGCAGCTAGCCCATGTCTGATAAAGAATACTACCTCACTTGAGCGTGTCCAGCGTGTGGGAACGACATTAGTGAAGGGTCTTTCTAAACTCCCTTACGATGAGCGTTTAAAACGCTTAAACCTTTTCCCCTTGTCGTATCGTAGGACTCGAGGTGACCTTATACTGGCATTTCGTATCTTTAATTATGATTTGGGTGTTAATATGTCTTATCTTTTTGCTCCCTCCAGCACTAATAATCTCCGAGGTCATAGCAAGAAGGTTCATAAACCACGATCTAATAAACTCAAGGTGGGGTTCCGTTTTTCTCATCGAGTAGTCAATGATTGGAACGCTTTGCCCGATCAAGTGGTATCAGCATCATCAGTGAATATTTTCAAAGAGAAACTGGACCTTCACTGGAAGCCAACCTGTTAGGTTTAACACAGGTTCACTAACCTACTATCCTTATTACTGAAGACTGAAGACTGAAAACTGTCATACGATAGAACTAGATGCGACTTGATTACAGTTTTCAAATTGCTTGGTGATAAATTTGCACCTGATATGCCCTCATTTTTCCTGTCTTCCAAAACAGAGAGTTTACGAGGGCACTCCAAAAAATTTCACAAGCCCAGAACAAATTACTAGTCAGCTGATTATCTACTTTCCCATCGAATCATCAACGAGTGGAATTCATTACCTCAGCACGTGGTTGAAAATCCATACGTCAATTCTTTCAAAAGAAAGTTGGATCAACTGAGAAAACACCAATTTCAGGACTAATACAGGCCATCAAGCCTCCTGTCCTTTCCAAACTGAAAGTGATATTGTACAGATATTGGGCATTGGCGAAATTGGTAGCGCGAGTTATGGATCCCTCTCTGAATTATCCTCAAATCTACAAAGCTCTTAGTGTTGATGTTAAGAAGTACTGTTTGCTTATTGTGTTATAAAATTCCGTTCAAGGAAATTAAACGAGATAAATAAGTGTGACGAACAGGCTACTGACTATGGTAACAAAAATATATATAACAGTTGATTTCTTTGTGCAACCAGCTTGTGTAGCGAAAAGTTTGGCCGTCCAAGAATGTCATGAATTAGCGGCAGTCTTTTTACTGGGCAAAGCAAAGTAGGTTCAGTATTCTCGTATATCGTATAAAATTAATCAACGGGGACATACTTATCTTTGCTTAGTCCCTCAGTCAAATGTCTGAAAAAAATTTTTTGCCTTCAGATAATTAAGCTTGACTATAATCTTTAATATTTCTCACGTCACATAAGACATTTGAGTTTGACCGTTTGGTCGTTGACCTTATTGATAAATTCTCTACCCAAGAAAAGTAATTGTGCACTTGTTAGTCTGTAAGGAAGGTCGATAGTCAACTTACAAGTAATTTCTTCTGGGATTGTGAACTGTAGTGGACCCCAGCAACTAGAGATTATTGAATATACATCTATACACTAATTTAATAATAATATAACATAAAAAGTCAACAGTAACAATCTTAAGTGTCTGTGTACGAGTAAAACCAAGGTTAACAGTTTAGTTATAATACAAATGGTATATTATTGAGCAATATGATAATAAAAATCATTAAGGAATGAATGTTACTTGAAGGCTGCTCACTGGGACGACAGCTACAAATATATCCACTTGATTAATGTAGATTCCCCTGTGAATGATGGCACCGACGGCGTGACGAGAAAGACAGAGACCAATAGTATTATGTAATAGTAATCCAGGCCAAAATACCAACGTAGTGTAGGAAGGCCATGCAAAAAATTACAGGAGTAAAACCGTGACGGTTTTACGTCGGGTTCACCAGAGAACTTTTCTTGTGTCCTTATAAATTACCAGGAAAAATTAGGATACACCAGGTGCAAATTTATCACTAATTAATATTTTCAATGCGACGAAGTCACTTCTGGTCCTTCTATTTGACAGTGGAAATAGGTTTAGCTTGGCCAGTCGAGCATCAGACGACAGCTTCTGGACTTGAATGCAGCAGTACACTCCGTAGACCAACGTGTTGTGTGGCAGTGTCGTTGAAAGGCGAACGTTAGAAGTACATAAATCTTGCGAGGACTCACTATTCGACACTTCCAGTCGAGTCAAACCTTATAGCAAACTGCCATCTGATATCACAACTTCAAATGGTGTTTGGCAAGGCTCCCCAATATCCCCATTTTATTGCTAAATTTCATCATAGACCTACTAATGGGAATAACGTGCCCGTTGTCCAAATTTTCAGGTATTGATCTACCAGGTGGTCCACTTATTGACTTAGAATACGCAGGTGACATAGTCGTGTTTGGTGAAGACACTGATAAAATGCACAATCTTTTGGTAGCACTGAGCAACAATACCAGGATGTTTGGGATGCGTTCTAAGTGCGAATCGTTGCTTCAGCACTGGCCTGTGTCAACACCTGAACTAAGGATCGAGATTGAAGTTTTCAAAAACATAGACAACTCCACTTATCTTGGAAGTCCGATCAGCCCTAATGACTTGGTGTCTGACGAAACCTCTGCATGGATTCAGTAAGGCTCATTTGGCTTCTGATAATTTACGTCACCCATGTCGAAAGCAAGATATCAGTCCATCAATTACAGGACGAGTGTACGGAGCAGTAGTTCGTACTGTTCTACTTGACGGCTGAGAAACGTGACCATTAAGGGTGGAGAATACTCATAAGTTACTAGTATTTGATCACAAATATCTTAGAAATATTGCTCGCATCTTCTGGGATCACCGGGTAAGTAATAGTGAGGTTAGACGCAGGATATTAGGGATTGATGATGGTAAATCAGCTGATGGGTTGTGAATCTTCATCAACTGAGACGGTTGTGCCACGTTTTACTTATGCCAAAATTCTGTTCCACAAAACAGTTGGGCGACGTTAAAAGATGAAGTCCTGTGGTAGTCAGTGAGCGCCATGTGCACTTTTGGTTTGGAATCAGGGTTTTCCAACTCCCCTAGACAGATCCACTTACATGGTGCGAGCCCCTGCAGGACATTCTTTTTTCGTCATCTCAATTTTGTAAACAACACCCCCGTTGAAAGAAGGCAGTGATTAGGACTTCCCTGTTAGTAGCTGTATAAGCATGGTCATTTGATAGAATTTGGAGAGTGAAAGCGATCCCTCCTGACCCTCGACTTTACCAGGGTATTTGGGGGTCATGAAGCAACCAAATATATAAAACCACTTGTTTGTGAGAATATTTTCGAAACAGATATGTGATTAACTCAATCGAAGAGATTAGAATATTAGGGTCAGTACAACAGGCTTCTAGCTATCCTACAGTTACTTACTGTCTCCAAACAACCCGAACAATAATTTGAAACAGTTCTCGCGACCCTTACAGAAGTTGCAATCCTCATGTGTAGCCTGAAGGGGAGGTGGCTTTGGGACTAACTTCTGAGACCCCATATGATTGGTCTTAATCTCTGATCATTACAATTCATGTAAAAGTAGATCGGTCCCCTAACAATAACCGCTTAATAATTAGCTTAACCTATATATATATATATATATATATATATATATATATATATATATATATATATATTAGAGGGTAAGTGAATTCTGTTTGTTTTTTCTTCAGATGTGAATTTGCTGCTAAAAATCTGACTTCTGAAGCATCAACATTATTTACAGCTGCAAAATATTTTATACAAGCTGATGATAAATTAATTTCAACCAATTCTATTAATTATGAGGATAATTTAAATTGTGCGATTCTTTGTTTATTAAGAGCAGCAAGAGTAAACCATTTCATTACTTTCAACAGAAATGCATACAATAGATCTATGAATTGAATGAACTTTTCACATTAGCGACAAATGTTTACATTTATCTGGTGGATACGTTAATGGTAATTCTTTTATTGTTTTGTTTTACTTTTCAACTAAACACTTGAAATAAATCAAGTAACTCATTGTAACTGTAATGACTGACCCCTATGTCAAACTCGCATAGGCTATTCTAGTTTCTAGACAGATCGGTCTATTCGTTCTTCTGAAGCAACATCTTTACGTTCGCTTATTAATCCTGACTTTATCATGTGATCGTATGTGCGCTAATAACTTACCCTACTCATTATGTTCCTGTAACTTATTTTTCTCTGACTATAAATATCGACTCACGCTTGGTTATATTGATTTGACTCACATGCCATCTACCATCCGTTTCGTTTCACTCTGTTCTATTTGCTCCCTTCTCTGCGTTCCCCTGATTATCTGTTCATATCAATGAGTGTAGGAAATAGACTTACTTATACCTAATTGTCGTATTTAGCGTATTTAATTCCGATGTTCACCAACGCGAGTTAAGTCAATAATTATATACAAGGATTGGCGACATGTATATTTCGACAGCAATCATTCGATAACGAGCATTCATCCAATGTAGCCGAAGTCAGATTTCGGACCATCAAATATCATTCGATAAAAATAAAGCAAGTTCAGCAAAGGAATTTTTCTTTTCGATGAAATCATTTACTTATACTGTATGTACGTTTGTTTTTAGAGTTTGAAAAAATTTATCAGTCTAATGATAAATAAAAAGAATTATTATATTATAAGGTGATGAGAATTCTATATTGTACCAATATATAATATTGAATAAAGCCATAAATAAATAAATAAATAAGTGATCCGAGCTTTCAAAGTTCAAAGAAGGTAAGAAATTAGAATAATTTACCGGTCAGGAATATGATCAATAATTATTGACTCAAGAAAGAAGTGGAAAATGTACTATTTATTTAAACAGATAAACATTATTACAAGGAGGCACCAAATATGTCTACGCCACATAAATCAGTCGATTAATGTGAAGGCTGTGATACTATCCTGGTGCCAGAACGGAACAGGTGCTTTTCTTAGAGAGCCTTACCCGGAGCCTTTGACCTAATAGTATGATCCAAAAGATAGTAGAGCAACGTCAGGAGATGCAGTCCCATGGTAGCCGGTGACCAACAATAGGTTCATACGCCATTTGTTCCTTCAGTATACTGGAGCCCATGTGCACCATTGATTTGGAATCAGGGTTTTCCAATTCCCCTAGGGGAACTCTCCATGTCCACCAACCCGGTTAAAGCGTCAGACATTTGCTTTTCGTTCTCTCAATTTCGTAAACAACAGTAATGCTGCGAGAAGACAGTGGGTATAACTTCCGTGGCAGTGGTTGTATGCAAGTGGCCATGTGAGAGCATTTGCATAGGGAGAGTTGATTCTCCCTACTCTCAGCCGTACTAGGGCATTTGGGGGCTTAAAAGTAATAAATAATAGTAGAAATAATAATAAATTCAAAATATACTGGAAAAAGATATTAAGGTTATTAAAGAATGGGAAATGACACATTACTTTTTTGCACACATAGTTCAGGCTGGAAATGATAAATTAATTGCTAACACCTCAACAGTGCATAATTTTTTTTACTGTGTGGATTATTTTGAAGGATGATTCATTTGGATTGACATGTTCTAAGTGCTCTTGTATTGAGCTGCTGATTATTTCACATTTCCCCTCTTCTTATAAACTCACGTATAATTTATCAAATAACTGGTAAGATTATAATTTATGGGCGACCTTTAAGTGACCGTAAAATGACCTTAGAATTTCCATCGACTGCTTACCAAAGTTAAATGAAGGCTATATATTAGTGTGAAGAATAGGGATAAGGATTTACAGTCTAATGTTAAGGTTAGGAATTAGATTTATGGTTTTCATCACGAATTGGACATCAGGTATAATGGTAAAATGGTATTTAGCCAAATGAGTGGATGAATTTCATGCTAAAATTCAAGATCTGTTATCTTAAATGTGATTGGTTTGTCCATACATTACTATTTTATTTATTTATTATTTAAACACATAAACATTGGTACAAGGAGGCACCGAATAGATATGCGCCACACAAACAATTCGATTTGTGTGGAGGCTGTGATACTGCCCGGGTGCCCAAACCAAAGCAAGTGATCTTAGAGGGTCACACTCCGAGCCTTTGAGATAAAGGTCTGATCCATAAGACAGTAGAGCAACGTCAGGAGATGCAGTCCCATGGTATCCGTTGATCAACGATTGGTTCATACACCATTTGTTCCTTCAGGATACTGGAGACTATGTGCACCATTGATTTGGAATCAGGGTTTTCCAATTCCTCTAGGTAAACTCTCTATGTATCCACCAACCCGGTTAAAGTGCCGGACATTTGCTTATAGTCTTCTCAATTTCGTAAACAAAAGTAATGCCGTGAGTAGGACTTCCGTGGCAGTGGTTGTATGCACGTGGCCATTTGAGAGTATTTCGAGATGGAGAGCTGACGACTCTTCCCACTCTTGGCGGTACCAGGGCATTTAATTAAATAACTACAAAAGTGATTAAACAGTTTACGGTACGGAAAGAAACTTTTCTTAGTTAAATTATTATTATTATTATTGCTTTTTCTTCTGTTTTTGTTTTTATTATAGAGACGATGTAAATTTCATCAATCTATACCTTATATAAAACGATCTATAGAAATTGTATCCAAAGATATACTATTAAGTTTAGAATTATATAAACGTTTAAGTTATTGTCAATTATATATACGTAAGTTTCTTATATATATAAATTATGTCTTTTTGTTGTATAGATGATTGGCCTGGTGCATTGTATACTTTTATATGTATACAAAATTTAACAAAAAAAGAATTTAGTAGGTTTATATAAAATTCTATTCAATCTCAATATATATATTTATAATTAGCATTGAATTCATTTGATCTTTATATACAATATTGGAGTATATCTGAAATATTTCGAGTATTACTTATACTTCTATGTATGGTATGTTCTATTTCAATTATAATTTCTTCTTTATTACGGATTATTAATCATTATCATCATTATTATTTATAGCCTTCCAATAAATTACATAATCTTGATTCATCTGATTATTCTTTAAAACAATATGATATAATTGTAAATGATGAAAAAGTTGAAGATTTATGTAAATCATCTACATTGAATTCGGTTTACTTGGATAATAATTTATTTATTCTATTACAGTCATTTGTGGTAAGTAAACGAGTAATATATATATATATATATAAACTGTGTCGTATTTTCAGAGATAGTCAGCTATAACGTAGAACCAGGCACATATATGCATCCGTTCAACATCGGATTCATAGGAGTAGTTAAGTCGATGGTGGTGGTAGTATCTAAAAGAAAAATTGCATATAAGGACATAGTACAGGATGAGAGAATTAGTTGGTAGAAAGAAAGATATGAAGCGATTTTAATCTCTTAGTTTAAGGGAAGACATGAGTGTATACACCTACGCCATTGTGAATTGTGAGCCATGTCAAGAAGAGTCTCCAACCACTGGTTACGATAGTCGCGAGGACCCCAATCGAATAGTCTGCATCTACCAACATGGCTCAGACTGGAAGTTATTGACTTTGTGGACTGATGCCACGTTTTGGTTTGGCCACCCCTAACTTTCTTCCAACCATCCCCAATACCGGTCAGCATTGCACGTCGTGGTAATCAGTGTTCAGGTATACTCAACACGTGACCCAACCATCTCAGTCGATGAACATTCACAACCTCATCAACTGATTTACGACCATTCCCTAATACCCTGAGTCTAATCTCACTTACCCGGTGATCCCAGCAGATGCGAGTAATATTTCTAAGGCATCTCTAGTCAAATACCAGTAGCTTACGAGTATCTTCTACTCTTAATTGCCACATTTCGCAGCCGTCAAGTAAAACAGAACGAACTGCCATGCAGTATACTCATCCCTTAATTGATAGACGGATATCTCGCCTTCGTCTTTTTTTTATTATCTTAACATTTTGACATTCAGCTGTATAATAAACAAAGTTTGAAAAAAAACAACTCATAGGTTATAGTGTTTTTTTTAACTATTTAGTTTATACCCTTGCAACAGACGCACTCAATGGTTGCAGACTTCAAATAATATGACTTAGAATTAGTCACATGGCCCTATGTGCATTCACTATTTATCCCTCCTCTAGATATTGAATTCGGATGCTTCACTTTTTTGTTTAAGTATTGTCGTTACTATCCAAAGAGTTTACCTCAGTATGATTTTAGATTGTTAGTTTTTAACGCCAATTAAACATCACAGAGCTAAATTGAAAACCTATCGTTGATCAGTCCCCTTATTAGCTGTTGACATTCAATTCAATGACTCAATAAATGGATTTACTGCTCATTCCACAAGATCATTCAAATACTATCTATAGTGTAATATATACCCATTCTATTGCTTTTCTTCAACGTCTGAAAAATCTGTTTTAAAAATCAGTCTTCTCTTCCTCCTTGAATGTGGTTGTGTCAAAGTTGAAAAGTCGTTTTCTATTAACAGTTCAACCTACTTAATCCCTTTAAATCAAGTGTGTTTTAATATAAACTCTAGCGGAAAGGAATCTTTATGTTGATAAATAAAAGTGTTATATTGAGTCCTTGAACGGCAGACGGTAGGGAAAGTCTACTCTCCCTCTCTAAATGCTCTCACATGGCCACGTGTATACAACGACTGCCAGAGAAGTCCTACCCACTACCTTCTCGCACTACGAATGTTGTTTACGAAGTTGAGAGGACTAAAATCGAACGTCCGGTAGTGTCTTTAACTGGGTTGGTTGATTTGGAGGATCCACCTAATGGAGTTGGAAAACCCTGGTCCCAAACTAATAGTGCGCATGGGCTCTAGGATTCTAAGGAAACAAATGGCGTATGAACCAATTATTGGGACTGTATCTTCTAACGTTGCTCCACTACCACTACCTTTTAGTCGAAGGTTCCGGGTGTGGCCTTTTAAGGAAACTACCTGTTTCGTTCTGGGCACCCAGACAGTATCTCAGCCCATATACATATCAAGTGATCTGTGCAGCTCATATGTATTCAAATAAATAAATAAATTGGTCATTTAAATATTAGTCACTCAAGTGAACATTCGAATTCCTCGTCATCTACTTCCGTTTGGACAACCAGTTACTATGCATCATTAATTCAGTGTGACTCAAAACTGAGTTAACAAACCCGTACATGATAATGGGTTAATGATAATAATAATAATTGTAAAATAATACATAATTTATTTCAATTGTTTTATTTCATTGTTTTTATTTTGTTCTCTTTTTTAGTTGGCACATCAATCAAAAGATATTGTAGAATTAGAATCACTTTCAGTTATGCTTCAATCATTTGTAAATTTAGAACAACGTGAATTAATCAGTTTAATTCTTCGTGAAATAATAGTGGATACATCGTGAAGAAAAACAAAATAAATGGGTTTTTTTTTTCTGTCAACATATTCAAATGAAGTATACTTCTCTGTGTCCTTCTTTGTGATCCTTCAACCAGAAAACTCAACGGTTGTCAAGTTCTAGCAAGCTTACTTCCTTGTTCTTCTAATATGTATATGTGATATTTTTCTGCTTTACTTCAATAAAGTTAAATTATCTTTGTGTATTATTTTTCATAAGATGTGTTTTACAACAGAATTCAGACTTTTCTTTCAATCACCGGTAAAGGGGACATCATAGAGTTTGATGGATTTTCAATTCACTTCACGTACCAATCTGAGCTAGATAACTTTTAAAAATCAGAATACACTGAATAGCTGTTTCGTCGCAGTATAAAACTTCTTAATAGTTTACACTTACAACTATTAGCTTTAACAGTACAGGGTTGTAGAGACTGTTGATTTTCATCCAAATCAGGAGTCGAGCAATGTTAGGCCACCATTGGTAACGTGGAAGTACTGGACGATTATTTCGTCGTAGTATAGGGCTTCTCAGCAGTACGTATCCACAATCCCTTATGTGGGAATCGAACTTAGGGTGTCTGGACACACTCGCGAACTCCCGACATTTAGACTACTGAGGAGTTCCATACTAGGACAAAATGGCCGTCCAGCGCTTCCAGGTTCTCACTGGTGGTCTAATATTAGAGTTAGACTGGAAACTGGGATTGCAACCGTCTGGCTTGACTTCCTCTTGTCACTGTTGACAGATTAAATATTTGAATTAGCCTACTTTTTCATAAGATCCCGTCTTTTGCTACGTCTAGAATCTGAGAAGGATTAGGCACATTAGGTTACGGTATCAGATAATCTACCTAATGTATTATACCACGTAAGAATCAGATACGGATTTTCCTATTGAGCGATTGCAAACCAGACAATGGTTTATTTAACAATAAACAATCTGTCTAGACAATGAACCCCATAATATAAATAAATAAAAGAAAGGAATTCACAACATTTAACAGTGCTGGTTATCGATTTTTTTCCTTCATTGGCTAATACATTACGCTGTCACGCGACATATCCACAGATCTATATCAGTTCATCATTAACTATGAAAATGAATGTATTCATTACATATGGATACTGATGTAAGGTAATATTAGTCGATAGGGATCCATCTACACTAGAAAGAGCTAGACAATCATGGTACTACTGAATGAGTTGTAGAAATTTCAGCAGTTCAGTCTCGTCCTGATCAGATCAGTGATAATTCCTCAGACTGTAAATCTGTATGACATGATCCGAACCCACCAGGTGGCATCTATTCCAACAACATAATAGATAAGCTTTACTGGCGGGTGGCAACTAGCCTATGGGAATAAGTACAATAGGCTTTAAGAACGATGAATATAAAGAAGTGTACTTGAATACAACGGAAAAATGAATTGAATGGAACTATTCACTATACATCAACTTCCTTGATTATGAGAAAGTATGTGACAATGTGGATAGAACATTACGGAAACTACTTCGGCACTATGGAAACATGAGAAAATCGTCAACATCATACGCAATTGATACGATGTACTACAATGTAATGTTATGCGGGGAGGACAACGGTCATATGCATTCCAAGTGAGGACTGGAGTCAGAAAAGACTGCGTACACTCCCCATTCCTCTTTCTTCTGTGGTCGACTGGATTGCGAAAACCACATCTGAGGGAAAGCACGGAATACAATGGAAAGCTCAGAATCATTTAGGAGATTTGGACTTCGTAGATGACCTGGCCCTTCTATTCCATACACACGAACAAATGCAAATAAAGATAGCCAGTGTAGCAGCTATCTCTGCATCAGTAGGTCTCAACATGCACAAAGGAATAAACAAAGTCATCAGATACAACACGGAGAACACCAACCAAATCACACTTGATGGTGAAACTCTGGAAGATGTAGAATCCTTCACGTACCTGGGAAGCATTATCGATGAACAAGGAGGATCAGATGTGGATGTAAAGGCGAGGATTGGCAGAGCAAGGGCCGCATTCATACAGTTATGAAGATATGGAACTCAAAACAACTGTTTCAATCAATATCGAAGTCACAATCTTCAATACGAACATCAAGACAGTTAATTCTACTGTACGGAGCTGACACGTGGAGAACTACTACAACCGTCATCAAGAAGGTATAAATAAATAGTTGTCTACTCAAGATACTCAACATCCATTAGCCGGATACCATCAGGAATAGTCTACTGTGGGGAAGAACATATCAGTTTCCAGCTGGGAAGGAATTAGGAAAAGACAATGGAAGTGTATAGAACACACTAATGAAATCACCAAACTGCATCACGACGCAAGCCAAAACTTGCGATCGTGAAGACAAAAAGAAAACCAAGTAACACATTGATTTGGGAATCGGAGGCAGACATGAAAATGATGAATAGCAACTGGAAAGGATTGTTGGGGACAGATTTGGATGGAGAATTCTAGTGAGCGGCCGATGCTCCTCCATGAGGGATAACAGGCATAAGTAAGTAACTTGCATACGAGGTCACAAAATACTTGATGAAATTCAAATGATGCATTTACTGACTGAACAGGAATAGATCGCATTTAGGTAAAATAGTTACTGTTACATACACATCTGTTTTGAAGAAGGGGTTATTCATTATCAGTCCTGTTTAGCATAATAAAGAATTTTCGATCGCTTATGGTCTTCCTTTTCCCGGAATTTTATTTTGACAACAGGTTGTTGTGCACATTGATCGTTCAGTAATAATCATCGATAGCATATTTGTCTGGTCCCTAATGTTGATGGAATTTCATCACTGAGTCAGTTGGAATATAACCACCAGTCTAAATGACTCAACATCGTATTGCTTCACCAGCGACATATTCTTTACATAGAAGCATGAAACCATATTTTATATAGGAGTGAATATTTGGAAAAGATTAAACTTTCAGAGCTCTTATAAACAGGGATTATAATATCTGATTTCACTGCATAATTATTAAATATCAACTTATGTGTTATAACTTGTGTCCTATTAATGCATAACGTAATGATACCACCAATTAGAGAACAGTGATTTATCGTCCGGACCAGCGACGCATAAAACAAGTACGAGCAGTCCAGACTCTTTATTGGTTCAGCTTTCCGCCTAGCTCTGCCTGTTTAGTCCAGAACACCAATCTCAGACTCTGCTATATAAATCAATGTATTTCAAACATACTAGGTTTAGATACAAACCACATACAGGGTTTATATACAAACCAAACAGACCACATCGTGCCATAAGATAGATAATAACATTTGTACCAAGATCTAGCCAAAAGTGACTCCCGAGGACTATTAATGAACTAATATTATTTATATAATCTCATGGTATAAGTATGCAGTAACTAGATTATGTATATCTATATTCCTCTTATTATAAGCTTCATTTTGACCCATAGATTATTATTGTACGATTTACTGTTCTTAAGCTATGTTCAGTTTATTAACTACTACCTCCCATGTTCACAGCCACTTTTTGACTTTATTGTGTACAAATGTTATTCCCTATTTTATGGTGCGTTGTGGTCTGTTTATTTGATATATAAACCCAGTATGTCTGAAATAAATGATTTGTTTCGATTCGCATAGTGGAAGCTGATATTGGTGTTCTGTACTCAAATGGACAGGCTAGGCGAACATAGGACCAATAAGGACACTAGGCTGCTCATACCGGTCGAACGTCATTGGTTTGGCACAGTGCTAAGATTGTATAAGTCGTATTTTGATTAGCAGATAAATGACGTGATAACTAGCCGGACATAAAGTCATAACAAATATGAATAGTTTAGTTAATTGATATATGTATGGTATTTGTCCATAAATAGTTCTCAATAGTTACCATTCATAATTCCCGTCGGGATATATCGGTGTGTTTTACCGTTTTGAAATTATCCTTGATTTATGGTATATTAGTCCAATTAGAAACTGGCAAATGATAAATACATATGATCGGTCAAGAAGTATCTTTCATTTCTAAGGGATATAACATAAACCAATGAGGCGAGACTATAATTTATAGACGAACCAATCAGATATAAGATAACGAGTCACCAATTTTGGCGCGAAATTATTCTGTACATTTGGCTAATTAGAGTTTTGGCATTATAACTGATGTCAGTTCGTGATGAAAATCTTAAATGTGATTTTTAACCCTGATTATCAATTGTAATTGGGAATCTTAACTGCTTTATAACTCTCATTTAGTCCTAATCAATAGGTGACCATTCTCAAAGTCGCTTCAGTGTCGTTCAGAGGTCATCCATAAACTATAGTCTCATCATTAATGACGCTTAACTTTAGTTAAGGATATTCACAATTGATTGATCACAGGGAGGTGATCAATGTCATGTGTGCCAAGTCCTTATTAGTGCAGATCGAATGCAATCAACGAAGTTACAATGTGGCCACTGATATAGGTGACTAGAAATTGCGTGCACTATGTTGAGATAGAATTGTGGTTGGAGGTAGTCAACGCAAACTCTTGACCTATGTTTCGTGTTATTTTGACACTCATCAGCAAGGTGTACTTGTAATCTTTAGGGAACTGATACTCCTTGATAGATTCGATCTCGTCTCAGCTAGCTTCACAGTCGATAGGATTCGATCTGCACTAAGAAGAATTCGACACATATGACATTGATCATCACCAAGTGATCAATCAAATGTGAATACATCTCAGTCCTACAGGAGGTCGGTCGCGGTCCGGATAACTCAGTGGCAACGTTTTCTTAAGGGTATATATATGAATGAGTAGACATTCATATGATATGGCCCCCAAATGCCCAGGTACGGCCAAGAGTGGGCAGAGTCCGCTCTCCCACTCCAAATGCTCTCACATGGCCACGCGTATATAGCCTCTGCCAGGGAAGTCCTACTCACTGCTTTCACGTGGCGGGATTGTTGTTTACGAAAATGAGAGGACGAAAAGCGAATGTCCGGCGCTTTAACCGGATCCCAAAC